ATCATCAGGGACACTTTAGAAACATGAACCTTTGGAGCCCTGCCCTAGAACTCTTGAACTCTGGCTGAGGCTGCTACCTGGGGTCCAAAAGCACTTCAGGAGATTCTGATGCTATTTCCAGGGAGGGACACTGCTTTAAATCTACCCTTGGGTTGGAGTTTCCAAATCTAGTGTTGCTTCAAATGTCTTAGAGGTGACAGTCCCCTTGGTTCTGCTGGGAGGACAGAGGCAGAGGCTAAGCAGGTGTGGTCTTGTCCTTCCTTGGTGTCTTGTTAGACATTGTCTTCTGAGTGTTGTGGGGGGGGGTCAGAAAGCACTTTGATCTGTTTTTAATAAAAAAAAACACCTTATTATTTTTATTACTCTTATGTGCATGGATGTTTTGCCTGCATGTATGTCTGTATACCATGTGTGCACTTTGCCTGTAAAGGCCAGGATAGGTCATCAGATCTGGAACTGAAATCACAGGTAGTTGGAAGTCGCCATATAGGTGCTGGGAACTAAATCCAGGTCCTCTGGAAGAGCAGCTGGTGCACTTAACTGCTGAATCATCTCTCCAGGCTACATTTAAAAAATCTGGTAATAATAATATCAACATTAGCATAACAATGAATTATCCTGAAATTAGAGTTAGGGGCAATTGAGAGCAACCTGACATGGGTACTGGAAACCTAACTTGAGTTCTCTGCAAGAGCAATAAGCACTCTTAACCACTGAGCCATCTCTCCAGTTCCCATATCACACATCTACCTCTTTCTAACACCTGTGCTCCTCTAGTTTAAGTTTAAATGATACTACTTTTAACTGATATTGCAAGTTTACTCTATGCAGGACATTATTTTAAGCACATTACAGACAATTATTATTGCCACCTTACAAATAAGGGCAGTGAGGCTCAGAGAAATAATTTTCTCAAGGGCACAAGTTAATAAATCCAGAGGTCTGGTTCCAATCACATGCTCTTGTTTTGCAGGGCTGCGGATTGAACCAGGGCCTCACACATGCTATGCAAGTGCTCAGCATCACCAAGCCCCAAGTGCCTGCTCTCAGCCATCCGGAAAGCTTCCTAGCTTAGAAGATGATGAGATGGAGATGAGATGGTGACCAGAGGGGATAACAGGTCTAACTTTTTTCATTCCTGAAAGAATGCTGAGGTGGAGGCGGGTCTCTGGTTGGACCACAGTTGTAGAGAATGTTAGCTCTTTCCTGTGTTCCTAGCTCACACCTGCTGCTCCGTGGTGGGGCCAGAATGCTGGCTGCCTGTAAGGCAGGCACTTTTGGAAATGCCATGTCATGCTCAGGCTCTGGCTTACAGCTGCCTGTGGATTACATTCTTTTCCAAATGCATCACCCCAGACTGGAGCCTCCTGCAGCCTGTCCCCAGACCTCAGAGCCCTGAGGAAGCAAGCTGGCAGTGCAAGGTGAGGACAATTCCTCTTCTTGTAGGAGTCAGCCTTACAGGCTAACCACTCACATCTGTAACTCTGGTCAGAAGCCTGGGCCCTTGGATGGGGATGCTGGCATTCTGACTTTCAGGACAAAAGGAGAAGAGTTTCCACAGTCCAGAGGCATTTTGGGGTAGCGGCAGTTTTCCAGTACACACAGCTAGAGTAGAGTGTGAATGAATGGCACCGAGGAACAGAGGTTGACACCTCAGGAGGAAACTAAATTCCTAACTCTGAATTCATCTTTATTTTGCAGCCACTCCTCTGTGGTTTCCCTGGTGCTCCTGTTATCTGTACTTGTGTGCTCACAATTCCCTTGTATTGCTCTTGGTATGGCTGGTTCTGATGTGTTCATTCCTCATAATGAGAGGGTGTGTTTTTGTCAAGGAGCACATAAGCCTCTTTGTATTGATAATTGTACAAAGTATATATTCATGTCATGGCATTAAGAATTTTGGTTTTTACCAACACTTAAGAGATAGAGGCCAGATCAGAATTTTAAGATCATATTGGGCCACATAGTGAGACCTTGTCTTAACAAACAAAGAAGAATTCATTTTTGTTTTTAAACTTTTATTTATTTAAAAAAATTTTAGATTTATTAATGTATATGAATATTTTGTTTGCATGTATGTCTATGTACCATTTGCATTCTTGGTGACTGTGGAGGTCAGAAGAGGGCAATGAAACTGTAGTTATTGACAGCTGTAAGCTGCCATTAAATTAAACCCAAGTACTCTGGAAGAACAACAAATGTTCTTAACGGCTGGTCCATCTCTCCAGCCCATGTTTTTAAACTTTTAAAATAGAGATCTTGTTTATGTGTGTGTATAAAATGTGTATAAGGAATATTCACATATCCATTTACTCATGCATTCATTTATCACACATGCACAGGGTATCTAGAGCACATATATGCAGTGCATGTGTCTATGTGCACATATGAAGGCCTTATCAGGGCCATGGATACCTGGGAGCTGGAGTTACAGGTGTTTGTGGGATGCTGGCTTGCTATGTGGATTCTGGGATCTGAACTCCAGTCCTCTTGCCTATGCAGTGCTCCTAACTGCTGAGTCATCTAGACCAGGATTTGTGGTCTAGAGTATCCTATTATTTATAATCTTGCAGTGCTTAAACAAATCTGATTGTTAGAAGGATCTGGAGAAATGGGTGTGGCAAATGCAAAACTGTGACTTAGTCCAATAAGTTTACCATATCCTACCAAAAATGGGAAAGGAAGGGGCAGGAGAGATGGCTCAGTGGTCAAGAGCACTGGCTGCTCTTCCAGAGGACCTGTGTGCAATCCCTGGGACCCACATGGTAGAAGGAAAGAACTCCTACAAGTGGTTTTTTGACATCCATATGCATGCTTCAGCATGAATGCATGTCCCCACACTCCACCAAACAAACAAATAATAAAAGTAAATTTGCAGGGTGCAGTGACGCATACCTTTAATCCCAGCATTTGGGAGGTGGATCTGTGTGACTTAAAGGCTAGCCTAGTCTACATAGTGAGTTCTAGGACATCCAGGGCTATGGAGAGACACTGTCTCAAAAACAAACAAACAAAAAAAGCTGGGCGGTGGTGCCACACACCTTTAATCCCAGCACCTGGGAGGCAGAGGCAGGGGGATCTCTGTGAGTTCGAGACTAATCTGGTCTACAAGAGCTAGTTCTAGGACAGCCTCCAAAGCCACAGAGAAACCCTGCCTCGAAAAACCAAAAACCAAACCAAACCAAACCAACCAAGAAAACAAACAAAAAACACACAAAAACAAAACAAAGAAAAAAAGAAAAACCAACCCCAAAAAACAAAAAGCAAGAGTGAGCTAGAGAGAGAGAGAGAGAGAGAGAGAGAGAGAGAGAGAGAGAGAGAAAGAAGCCAGTCACAAGGGACCATACATTACAGTATAATTCCATTATTTGAGGTGTATTTCCTTTTAGACATGGTTTCATTATGTGTCCTAGGCTGGCCTTGATCTCATAATGATCCATTTGCTTCAGCTTCCAAGTGGTGGGATTACAAGTGTGTGCCATCATCAACAGGCCAGTTCCATTTAGTTAAAATGTCGAGAACAGGCAAACCCACAGAGACAGAAAGCAGAGCAGTGCTCACTTGCCTAGCTCTGGGGACATGAGACATTGGAGAGCAGTGTCTAAATTGTGCAGAATCTCTTTTGAAGGTAAGAAAAATGTTCTAAAATGGACTGTGGTCATGGGTACATGGCTCTGGCAATATTCTAAAAGCCATGAAATTACACACTTAAAGTGAGAGAAGTGTATGAATTGTATCCCCACCCTCAAGAAAACTATCAGAAGAGAAACATTTGATGAATAAGCAAATGGATACTTGGCTTTTGCTCTAACTGTCACTTAGAATGGGGTCCAATGGTAGGTGAGGACTACTCGCCTTCTATCTATCCATACACTCATTTGTTCAGCAGACATTCCAGCAGGATGAACCATGAACCAAGGTTGGCCTTGGTCTTGGCCTCAGGACCTTCCTGCCTTAGTCTCCCCTGGAGTGCTCAGAGGATCATAGGTGTGCCCCACCAGGCCCAGATCCTTCTCCTTATCAGAATTCTCCAAGAGTTATATTTCTATTGTTAAGTCCTGACTTTTAAGACATGAATTCCACCCCCAATCTCTTGGGCTGAATCTTTTCATGAGGACAGGCATAACTGAAATAAGTAAGCTGAAGTGGAACAATGAAGACAAATGACTTGTTTTGGAAACTGGGTGCTTTTCAGTAAATAAGATCTTTTGCTCAGCTTGAATATGCAAACCTACATCAGATTTGTGTTAAATGATTAAGTTAATTCAGGTATAGTTCAACTACTTCATTTGGTTAAAAAAATGTGACAGTAAAACCAAACATGAGATTTAGGTGCCCCTAACACACTGTGCTTACCACAGTTCTGGTCTAACCTCAAACTCAGAAACCTTCTTTTAGCATATACCATACTATTTGCTCTTCCCTCAGTTGGGGCTTTAGCTCTTCCATGTCCTTACCCTCAACCTTCTGGATTATAAATTATCACCCACTCTTGCTCCTCTTTCCTCAGAATATCCTCCTCTTTGTCTCTCTCCCTCTCTCTGTCTCTGTCTCTCTCTGTCTTGTGTGTGTGTGTGTGTGTGTGTGTGTTTACATGCATTTGTGTGGCCCTGTGTTTTTACTTCACTACCCTCAGACTCCGTCTTCAGACCCCACGGCTCCCAGTGAAAACCACAAAGGATCATTTGGTTTCCCTTAGGAAACAGAAAGTGGGGACAAAGCCACAACAGACTTCTCCCTCGAAGGCCAGTTTCTCTAGTTTCTCTCCTAATCCATCCACCTCCATCCCCACTCCCCACCCCAGGGTTTTTCTGTATAACAGGTCTGGCTGTCTGGGAAGTAGATCAGTCTGGCCTTGAACTCAGAGGTCTGCCTGCCTCTGCCTCCTGAGTGCTGGGATCAAAGTATCTAATGTCTTTTCTGAGACAGATTGTTCTGGTTTTTCTGCACTCTCACCAGAGTGCAGCTGGCTTGAAAACTCTGACTTGGGGCACACGTACCTGGCCGCCTTCTGAGTGAGTTCCAGTGGGAAATCTGGGCACAGTAACTGCAGCAGACAGTGGTACTCCCTCATGGTCAGCAAGTCTGCAGTGCAATGGAAAGGAGCGAGTTAGGATTGCAGTTCAGGTCACTGTCCACCTTTTGGTCATTTCATGGGTTGCAGGCCCAGTCTTGTTAGAATGCTGCTGTGATTTGAAAGCCAAGTCAGTGTAAAGGAGTGAGATTTTTCTTTCCTTTTTTCCTTTTTTATTTTTATTTTTTGGATACAGGGTCTCACTATGTAGCTCTGGCTGGTCTGGAATTATGTAAACCAAGCTGGCCTCAAACTAACAGAGATCCACTTGCTTCTGCCTCCTAAATGCTGGGATTAAAGGATCGAATCACAGCTGGTCCAAGAGATGAGATTTTAGGACTGGTATCTCTACCAAGCCACTCTTGGATGAAGCACCAGTTACAGCATTTCAACCAAAGGGGCTTGCTGTTTGAGAATTGGCCAAGTGAAGAGAAGAAACAAGAGAACAGCTTCATCAGTCTTCCCATCCCGGTTTTCCCTGACTCCAAAACTGTGGGTGGACAAGTCACGAGAAAGCTGTTTGAGACTGTTCAAAGTCTCTGGCATGGCAATATTTACCACTGCATGCCCAAAAAAGCCATCTACAAAATATCAACAGGCAGTGAGGCAAATGTTGCATGCTCAGGGCTGGGGCTGGGGTAGAGAGAAGAAGAATGGGGAGAAGTACATAGCACAGAAACCACAGACCTAATTGCTCTGCCACCCAGAACTGCAGCAGGCTGACTTCTTTGGGATGCCTGCACACAAATCTGGTCATCCTATTGTTATAGGAAGCCAAGACCAAGGTCCAAGATACACAGTTGTGGCAAACATATAATTCCTGACCTACAGAAACAGTGCTGTGGGAGAGACGAGCCAGGAGTTTTGTGGGCCAGATGTGTCAAAGAGGCAAATCTTAAAGAGAGGGCCACAGTGTCCCAAGAGAGGAACCACACCTATGCTGCCCAGTTGTTTTGCTGCAGCCTGTGCTACAACTAAAAGGCTCTGGATCAGCCGGGCAACAACAGGTCTTCAAGAATTCCCCAGGAGCAAAGGCTTTCAAACATGGAAAGCCATGGTCATGGTGAAGCAAGAGCAGCCTGGCTGCATCTTATCCTAAGTGGGAGGAGGGAGCCAGAGGATAGGTCTGTGCTGGAGAGTGATGATGATGATCACAGGCACGTGGTTTCTTTGGACCTAAGTTAGCCCAAGCCACAGGAATCCAGATCTCCTGCCCCTGCTCGTTTGCTTGATACTTTTCTATGACAAAACCCCCAAATCTCCAGGGTCAGGCCTAGGCTCCGACCATTTTCTCATCAAAGCTCACTTCAAGGTGGGGGCACAGAGTTAAAATAACCACAGTGCTGAAGGCAGGGGCACCAAAAGAACAGACCCAGCGTCAATGTAGGTCAGGGGATCAAGAAGGCTTCTGTGGCCTTGACCATGGCTTCCTGTGCTGCACAAGTCTTTTCTCACTCATTTGGCCCCAGGCAGTGTGGCAGGAGGTTATAAGCAAGCCCAGGAGCAATAGCCACTCACTATCACGACCTGGAATGAGGAGCAGAAGTGATGGGTGGAGGAGGATGCGTTCTGACAGAGTGCTGCCTTTGATCATCAAGTGTTAAACTTTGACACTGTTGTTAGAAGTGTGGCCAAAGACTGCACAGGGTTTACTATTCATTCCAAATCCCCTGGATAGTCACCTTGGGAAGATGTATATGGTAATTGAGGGATAGGGGGGGGGGGGGGGGGGGGGAGGAGGGAAGGGGGAAGATGTATATGGTAACACAGGGGGAAGATGTATATGGTAACACGGTGGAAAGATGTATGTGGTAACAGTAGGAAGATGTATATGGTAACACGGGGTGGGGGGGAGATGTATATGGTAACACAGGGTGGGGGGGAAGATGTATGTGGTAACAGTAGGAAGATGTATATGGTAACACGGGGTGGGGGGGAGATGTATATGGTAACAAGGTAGAAGAAAACAGGGAGGAGAGGAATTAGTCTCTGCTTCCCTGTTTCCAGAGCTGAGGTCCTGTGTAGTTAGTTTCTTTTCTTTTTGTTTTTAAGGTGCTTGGGGTCAAACTTAGATATACTACACAAGTGCTCTACCATTGAGGTACATCCCCCCTTCCTCATTAGGTTCTCTGTGTATGTCCATGGTGTGATGGTGTGTGTGTGTGTGTGTGTGTGTGTGTACGTACATCCGTTCTGGGGATTGAACTCAGGTCCTCATGCTTGTGATGTAAACATTTCACCTACTGAGCTATGTTGCTCTAACTCACACAGTTCAAATACTTGTTTCCCAAGGGTGGAGGAATAATGTATATAAATTACTTACTGCTGCTATAATGTAACAAAGGCCCTTAAAACTACTAAAGCTGGGGACTGGAGAGATGGCTTAGAGGTTAAGAGCACTGACTGCTCTTCCAGAGGACCTGAGTTCAATTCCCAGCAACCATATGGTGGCTCACAACCATCCGTTATAATGAAATCTGGTGCCCTCTTCTGGTGTGCAGATATACATGGAAGCAGAATGTTGTATACATAATAAATAAATAAAATCTTTAGCCGGGCGTTGGTGGCACACACCTTTAATCCTAGCACTAGGGAGGCAGAGGCAGGTGGATCTCTGTGAGTTCAAGACCCTGGCCGAGCTAGTTCCAGGACAGCCTCAAAGCCACAGGGAAACCCTGTCTCAAAAACAAAACAACAAACAAAACAAAACAAAACAAAAAAAGCTTCGTGAGGAAGGCAGCCATAGAGAGAGACTCAGGAAAATACAAGCAAACAGCTTTAACCTGTGTGAGAGAGCAGTTCAAATTCAATTAGGGCAGTGGTCAGATAATATCAATGCCAGGGAATTGCAAGTGAGAGCCACCCTGCACCTCTGGAGATGCCGTATTGCAAGTGGAAAGACTGGTTCCAAAGTCCAATCTCTGCCCCACTGGCTCGGCTTCAAACCCTGGCTCCTTAAGTCAAGTATGGAACCTCAGGCAAACTGCTTCATCTCTCTCCATCTCAGGTTCTCTGCGGTAAGCTGGGCAGGCTGCACTCACTTTTCAGGATTGAAGTCAGAAGAGATGCTATCTCTATAGTACTTAGCAGAATGTCTGGACCTTAGCAACATCAAACACTTGGAGTTGTTTTGGTTTGTTTTTAAATCCTGGGGGTTAAAGACAGAAGAGGAGAGGAAACCACCTTCTGAGGTGGCTTTTTTTTTTTTTTTTTTGCTTCCTGCATTTGCTTTAATCTATAGCATTCAGTCTTGGATAGTTTTCATCAGGCTGCCAGGGCAAGCTCATTTCCACTCTTCTGTATCCACTCATTTAACATTGACCCTTGTCTCCTGCATCCCAGGCACAGCATTGCAGGGATGCTGTGGCCTCAGCAAGAGCTCCTGAGGCTGAAAGCCCCTAGCTTGCTCAGGTGTTTGTTAACTCCAAAGGCTGCTGTGCACACTGGGCTCTTTGGTTTTTAGCACTCTCTCTGAATTCAAAGAGTTTCCTGCAGTCCTTTTGTGCTACAAGCGCAACAGTAACAGGAGTGAATGGTTTTCCAGTGCTGTGCTCAGTGTTTGAATCAGTGCACTTAACTTTACAGCAGCCTTAGACTCTGACTCCATTGTTCCTATTCTCAAGTCACAGATAAGCACGTGGAAGCTTGGAAGATCACGGAGGGGAGCCCAGAGTCTGAGAAACAGGAGGCTATGAAGGGGTTCTAAAGGCAAGAAGGGCTTAATGAAAATACCACTCACTGGTGTTTTGAGTATTTACTATGGGTCAGGCTCTCTTCAAGATTTACATGCTGTTTCTAATTTGATTTTCACCTTAATTCTTTATTTTATTTTATTTTATTTTTAGGCAAAGTCTCATGCTTAGGCCAGGCTTGCCTAGAACTAGCAACAAACATCTCTTCTGTGTCCTGAGTGCTGGGATTACAGGTGTGAGCCACCAGCTAATCTTCCGATTGTAGGCATTTTTCATTTGTGTGTGTGTGCATTCCGTGGAACCCATTGGAAGGTCTCAGGACAATTTTGTGGAACTGGCTCTTTTTTGGGGGGAGGGGGTTCGAGACAGGGTTTCTCTGTGTAGCTTTGGAGCCTGTCCTGGAACTAGCTCTTGTAGAGTAGGCCGGTCTCGGACTCACAAAGATCCGGCTTGTCTCTGCCTCCCAAGCACTGGGATTAAAAGTGTGTGCCGCCACCGCCCGGCTGAGTTGTCATTATTTTTATCCCCATTTCACAGACACACGAATTCAGACTGTGTGTAGACAAGGGTGGAACTGGAATTCAAATCCAGGCAGTAACGCAGAGCTAACCCAGCTAACACTTCAGCACCTTGGTCTCAAGGCTCAGGCACTGTTCTCCCCTACCCTCCACCACAAATAAACTGCAGCAATAACCAGGTCCAGGTGAACTGGATCAAGGGGACAATCCTTGTGAATTGGAATCCTTCTTGTAAGAAACTGAGACTAAAAGATTCTAATTACCGTAAACAGGAAATACTGGAGCTCAGCTCAGCAGCTGGAGCTAGCTAGGCTGAGCCGGCAGGGGGCACGGCTACAGCTAGGAGTGCACCTGTGCTGCGGGCTGCCTCGCAGCTCTCACCCCACCCACCTGCGAGCCTGGGCATCACACAGGTGCAGGGAAGGGAAGTGATGTGGTGTGTGCCTGCAGATGCCTCCCTAAAGGAATCCCCCACAATTAGCAGCGCTCAGCCGGCAGATCCTGAAAGTTCAAAGGCAAAGACTTTCATATAAGATCTAAATCAGAACCCTCTCCACAAATTGGTGCTTCTCTTTGTATGGGTGGTCAGAATTGCTCAACTCCCTTCAAAATCTTCTACTAGTCTTACCAACTGGGTACCAGGCCAAGGACCAGAGAGGCTTGCCACTTTAGTTCTATCGTCTCCAGAGGCTGCACAGCACTGTGGCTCAAACATTAGAGTGATCAGAACTAAATTCCAGCTTTACCATTTTGATTTCAAAATAATTACTCCATACCTCAGTTTCACCATGTATAAAATGT